CCGCTCTACCAACTGAGCTACCAGAGGCTGACATGGACAACCCGGTGTCAAAACGCGGCCCGAGCGGCGGCCTCACCACACGCAAGGTTTTACTTTCACAGCCGAAGCCACTTACTTTCCCAGTCGATGGCAGACCGCCTCAAGGGTCCCACCCGTTGGTCACTAGTCGGGAATCGGAGACCGTTGATGTTAGTTGCAAGCCCAAATGGTCCCAAACAAATGGCTAAAACACGTACCCTATAATAGCCAAAACTAAGCGGACCGAGGTCGGTGGTGTTACCTGCAAACATCAAGCGAAAGGCTGAAATGTTAGGAAACCCCCACCCGCCACATCTCATCCTTCCACGCAACGTTCAATTGTGACACGGTCGCCACGTTCATACCTAGCTCCATAACCAACGTGCATTCATTAGGTCACTCCCATCGGGCTACCCGGGCTTGCGGATTCTCTCACGGGATCCTGACCCCTCATTGCCCACCAATGAGCGAACCTTATGAGGCGGTGTCTGCCACAGAGGAGGGGGGGGGGGGGGGGGAGGTAGGGTCTCTGCGTGTAAAAACAGACAGGAAACTGCCAGTGGGGCCGTTCGGGCCGCGTTTTGGCACCAGGTGGTCCATGTCAGCCTCTGGTAGCTCAGTTGGTAGAGCGGTGGACTGTAGAGGCAAAGCACAGGCATCCATAGGTCGCTGGTTCAAATCCGGCCCGGAGGATGTTTTGGATAGGCATCGTTTGCGACGATTATGCAATATGTCCACCCTTAATCTTAGCTACGGCAGGTACGCATCTGGTTGCCTGTAGGGTAGGCCCAAATCGACCACTGTGTTTGAGCTGAGCAATGTGTTTGGAAAAATGAAAACAGCACTGTTCTTCAGGCGTGATTGTCACGAAAAGCAAAAAAGGAATTTGACGCCCTTGGAGAGCAGTGTCATTCCGTCATCTCACCCACTACCCACACCCCTCACTTCAGGCCAGTACACCACTGCACGGCGCTTGCTAACCTTGCATGGGAACGAGCGCAAGGCGAAGATTGTGACCCACGCCCAACGCAAGGAGATCAATGCCGGCAGACGACGCCGATTTTGAGAAGTCGAGCCGCAACTGCTGTGACAAAGCACCATGCAAAGGCGGAGCCCATTGAAGTTTCCATGAAGATGGAGCCTGAGCCATAACTCAAGGAAAATACAAGAGGGAATAAGAGTCGAAGCTGAATTCAATGCATTGGAGACAACGGCGGCTTTACGAAGGGTAAGCCACAGCCGTTTTTTCCGTCTCTGGTGTCAATATGCATTTACATTAGCTCGTTGATCGCCTAGTACTGGACGTGAGCCACGGCACATCTGGAGCTTGCGGCCAGGCATGGTGAGCATCCGCCGCGCCATGGTGGAGTAATACCGGGTCATTATGCGTGTGTCATATGGATTGTCAGGTATGGTTTCAATGTGCGGTGCCACGATGCTGCTCTCCAGGGTGCGACAAGTGTATGTATGTATGTATGTACGTGTGTGTGTGTGTGTGTGTGTGTGTGTGTGTGTGTGTGTGTGTGTGTGTGTGTGTGTGTGTGTGTGTGTGTGTGTGTGTGTGTGTGTGTTGTGTGTGTGTGTGTGTGTGTGTGTGTGTGTGTGTGTGTTGTGTATGTATGTATGTATGTATGTATGTATGTATGTATGTATGTATGTATGTATGTATGTATGTATGTATGTATGTATGTATGTATGTATGTATGTATGTATGTATGTATGCATGTATTTTTGTATGCATGTATGTATGCATGTGTGTATGTATGTAAGTGTGTATGCATGTATGTGTGTATGTATGCATGTATGTATGTATGTATATATGTATCTATGTATGTATACATGTATGTATGTATGTATGTATGTATGTATGTATGTATGTATGCATGTATGTATGCAAACACCAGGCGGCAAACCTCAGGACCAATAAAAAACTGACGACAACCGGATAACTTACTGTCTAAGCCCGTGTATACATGCTAGCGCAGAAGACGAGAACGACGGTCGAAAAAATATGTTCTCCGTACCGCTAACATCTTGTCCGAATCACTAACCAAAACTCTTGACATTTCCTGATCTCATACAGTTTTATAATATGCAATTTATCTATAAGTTATGTACAGAAGTGCTTTTGGCTGCGCACAACGGCGTTACACCCTAGACCCAGCTTAGGCTTCGGCCACGTGATTCGCAGCTGATGGTGGTTTGGCTTTCACCTCGCGTTTACACAGCACGAATTCCCTGACTTCGGCTCACATTTCGCCCCGTGCATGTTTCGAAGCCCCGTCTTGGGATTCGGATTCGTGTCTTCGCCAGAGCGACACCATACATTTACATCGACACCAAGACGAAAAGTCCTCCGGGCCGGATTTGAACCAGCGACCTATGGATGCCTGCGCTCTTCCTCTACAGTCCACCGCTCTACCAACTGAGCTACCAGAGGCTGACAGCACTACGTACAGACTGTCGGAGGGACGGCCAGTGGGTTCGGGCGGGGTGGGGTTGGGTGGAGTAGGGTGCGGTGAGGCCGAGGGTAACCTGGAGGTCGGGTAACCCCCACCTTCCCCGTCTCAGTCGCGTAGCCAGCGGCTGAGATTCGTACAGGAACACTGTACCTCAGTCAGGACACTTGTTTTCCTGCCCCTCCTGGCAGGAGAACAGCGTGCCAGCGGCCGTATTCGGTGGAGGACCGGCGGGGACAAATACTGAGGTGCACTGCTTCGACACCAGGTCGGAAGAAACCGTGTCTGGTACTGGAGCCAGGCGGAAGAGCTTGTGCTGAGCCCTGAGGGGGGGGGGGGAGGCGGTATCCGACCGGCGGCTAAATAAGGGTCACGCACGGAAACTGTCACAGAACATCTTAGGTCGGGGTGGTCGAAACATCTAATTCATGGCACCTGTTCCTCTTTTGTCGCCTGTCGTCTGTCGCTTGCCTCCAAGGTCGCACACGCCACTGTTCAAGAGAACATGACTATATATCAGACGCCGACCAGAGCTGTCCTCGGGCGTTGACCAGCCGTTGACCCCCCAGCCATGTGCGCCGGCGGGCTCGGGGCCCGGCGGCGGAACATAAGGTACCGAGCCGGACAAGTCGACTATGGAATTTGTGCCGAGATACACGACAGAATGTGGGGATTGGAGGTGAAAATTCTGCCGCTAGATATACAACATGTTGGGCAAGCCAAACAATGACTACGCCTGGCATCACAGAGCGTGAGCATAGGACCTGTTTGTTAACGCACTGGAATTAAAAGGCTGGGATCGAATACAAAATCCCCTGTCACATGACATGTTGGTCGGCAAATTTTCACAACTGGGACGCTCCACCAGTCACTTAGCAGTTATATATTAAAGTGCACCATCGAATGAACAAAGCAAGTGCACAGATTGTTGCCATAAATTTGCAGGCCACGACCACACGGCTCCAATACATATTGCAGAGTTGACCGACCAGAGGCGATCTAAAACAAAGACGGACAAAACGTCGATTTCTGGTGTTTTTTTACGATTTTAAGGTGAGCGGTCCAAGAGATGGGGATTGGCCCTCCCGCCATACCCAGAAATTTGGCCCATGAACTTTGTAACAGGATCCGCATGCCACTGGTTCAAACAGAACAGTCACAACGTATCTACATCACAAAACGTCCTCCGGGCCGGATTTGAACCAGCGACCTATGGATGTCTGCCTCATTCCACTACAGTCCACCGCTCTACCAACTGAGCTACCAGAGGGCCCAAGCCATCCGGCATTCGTCGGGCGTTGGACCGGTGCACCAGGAGGCGACTTAACCCTCTGATACCTGAAGGTCACAATCGGCATGTTACGTTGTGGCAACTTCCAGGTGTCCCTATACAGTATAGTCATACCTGCAGCCGGTCACAGTTGCGTGACGTGACGCCTGATATTATTATCAATGTAGCATGCATCAAAGTCCATGAAAGTGTAACGTGGTGGAAGAAGACAGTAAAGTAGCGAGTGCGGTGCACGATACCCCTGTTAACAGAGCGCATGACACCGCACACCGGCAGGCTCATTTGCGATTGTCACGCATGTCACGCACGTCAGGCATGCACGCATGACTGGCAAGTCAACAACCGGAAAACGACCACTCACGCCAACGTTCCATTATCTGTTCAGGTGTCGTCCCCGGGCCGAGACGCGAGGGATCAAAGACCCAAAGCCACCAAGGTCCATTGGGTCCGGAACCGGTGCTGACTCATCGTCACCAGTCATCCCCTCGTTCTTCCCACCGTCGCCACCCGGCCTGAACAAACCGCGCTCCTCCTCACGCTGCACTCGTTCCAAGGACGACAGACGTAGCACCCTCCTCTGCCGCGCCAGACCGCGCCGTGCGCAGTCGGAACTGCACGTCGGCGCCGGGGGAGCAAAACGCGGCGCCGCTGACTCGCCGGGCCGGTCGGCGCCTGGTGGCCGGGCCATTCTCCAGACGCTGTCACATGTGCCGAGTCACCCCGACCGATCAGCCGCGGAGCTCGGCCGTCAGAGGCGCCGTCATCGGCCGGCGGGCGCGCGCGCGCCTCCTCCGCCAGCCGAGCGTGGGCCGCGCTGCCCAGGGCGGCGCGTCAGGCTAGGCCGCGCCGCCCGCCGGCGCCAGTGCGCGCTCAGCATGGCTGCCGCTAGGAGCTCACAGCAGCGGCGGCGGACGAGGCCCGGCGGCCGTGTCTCCGTCCTGGCCATCGCCGCCGTGCTGCTCGCCGGGGCCGACGCGCGGCTCGTTACCACCGGCCGGCCGGTCGCATCGGCATCGACGACCGACACCAGCGTCATCTATCGGACGGTGACGAGTGTGCGCTGCGCGCCGCCGTCGGCAGGGGTGGCCCGGCCCGACATGCGGACGGCACGAGTGCTCGGCGGCGTGAGTGGCCGCAGCAAGGTGCCGGTACTGGTGACCGAGCCAGGCACGGCCGCTTTCATCACGCGCACCCTGGCGCCGGGCTTCTCGGTCACTTATCGGCCCCGGCCGTCCGTCACATACACCCGGCTCTTCCAGACCGAGGCGCCCGGCGGCACGACGACGCGAACTGCCGGCGCCGACGTCTCAACCAGAGCTCCAGTCAGGGAAGCGGAGGTGTCGGGGCAGCAGCCGCACAGCTTCTACCTGCCGCCACTACGCGGCAGCACTCTCGACGGTGACACGACGAAGGCGAGCACCGCAGAACACGCGCTTAGTTTACCGCCACCGCCGCCACGGGGCAGCACTGCCAACGGCGACCCAACGAGGGCGAGTGTCATAGGACAAGCGGTACTCCGCTTGCCGTCGCCGCCACCGCGCAGCACCACTGTCCACGGCGGCTCGACGAAGACAAGCGCCGCTGGACAGCCGGCACTCAATTCACCGTCATCGCCGCAATGCGACAGCACGACCCGTGGTCCGCGTCCGCAACCACCGCTTGTGGTCGCAAGCGGATACAACCGGCCACCGCTGAGCTTCCTACGGCCGCCAACAGGTGACGGCACGGTCAGCAGTCGACGACCGGCAGCGAGCGCCGACCTAACGCCGCCGTTCAGTTTTCCCCCTCCGCCACTACGAGGCAGCCCTGTTGACGGCTGGCCGACAGCCGTAAACATGGTCCCAATAACGCCCCTCAGTTTCCTTCCGCCGCCACCACGCGGTGGCGCTGTCGAAGGACGACCGGCGGCCGTGAACATGGTCCCAATAATGCCCCTCAGTTTCCTTCCGTCGCCACCACGCGGTGGCGCTGTGAAAGAACGACCGACGGCCGTGCACTTTGTCCCAATATCGCCGCTCGGCTTCCCCACGCCGTCAGTTCGCGAAGGAACAGCCGACGGCCGACCGACGATTGTGGGCATGGTTGGTATGTCGCCGCTAGGTTTCTTTCCCCCTGCTCTCCTCCTGCCGCCGCTACGCGTCAGCACCGTCGGCGGGTGGCCGATAACGGCCGACCGCGGTGCACTGCCTCCGCCGAGGTTCCTCACGTCACCGCCAGGCGGCAACAGTGTCGCCGGCGGGCCACGGCCGGGCGGAGCGGCCGGCTCCGGCTTTGACCCCTTCGAGAACGACGTCGATCCCTTCGAAGACGACGGTTTCCTGTTGTGAGCGTCGAAAACCGCGGCCCTGGCCTCCGCCAGCTCGTACGCCGAAGACGCCGCTGCGCCGAATGAGTCCACCGTCCAGCCCTGTGTTGGACCGTCCGCAACAACCGACTTCCGTCGCGCCGCGATGTCGCGGTCGGTGTGAAGCCGGTCATCCATCGTGGCCGCCCGCGAGCTAGCGACTGAGACAAGTTCGCTCTCCTTCCGCCCCGACCGCCGTCCCTTCAGCGGACCGGCTCCGCCCGCGCGGGAGGCGTGAACGGCACCACGGAGGTGGCCACCTACCTTGAGGTCCTCCTCGGAAATCTCCGAACTGCCCGTCAGCAGGTTCTGCGTCCGCCGGTACACCTTGCGTTTGAACCTGCCGCAGCGGATAACATGGCGGTTAGCTCGAACGCCAGACGCGTCGCTCGGGCGCGGAATCCGAGACTTGCGAACAAGAAGTCGTGGATGCCTGCTACTGGTTGCGGCTGGTTCCTCGTCCGCCTACAACTGGCACGTGATGACGGTGCTGATCGTTATTGCTGTCACGTGTGCAAGTAGGACTGAAATAATCCGGACCAATTCGTGCGCACGCCAGTGAAAAAAATTAGCTGACATGGTCATAGCTGGATTCAAACAACACAACTCGAAAGGTCATGCTACAGGGTACAAGAGCGTGACATGCATGAACTTCGGGCATGACATGTCGTGGAATGTAAAAATAAATAACGTTTGTTTTTCCTTTCCTTGAATAAATGTGTGACTCTTATATTATTTTTTGCATAAGTGTTATGTAAGCCAAAACGCAAAACCACGAATATTGTGCTGCTAACCCTATACAGTTGCTTTCATAAAAATTTGAGACGAGTCTCGTCTAAAGCATGGCAACGGAGTTATTGATAACTAGAATCCGATCACAACTTTAAGAAAACCCAATGCACCATTTTCCACATGAAGCCTACACATGGAATACGGATACTGCAAAGTGGGCCGCTATTTGCCATGTGATGACGGAGTGCCGCAGAGGGACCCTCTGCACAGATTACTGGGTTACACCCGTCTTCAGTAAGCGCGCCCACCAAACAGCGCACGTGAGTGGTCAGTGACTGACTTGTTGAGCCGCTTGGTGCCGGAGATGGTCTCCTGGCGCGAGTACAGCCGGCCTGTGGACGGGTCCGGCGAGCGACCCTCGCGCACCACGAACACGTGCAGGTATACCGAGCCGTTGTTGAGCACCGCCTAGTGGGCAGACGGCACGTGTGAGACGACTACGGTCGCGCGTGCAGGCTACAGCGCAAACCTATATCGGGGATGAAGAGCTGTCCAGACCGCGTTACAGTGTAGGGTTGGCGAAAGAGCGCGCACTAAGGACAACTGTACTGACGTTGCCTAATTAGCAATTGTAGACGCATTATGTAACTGCCAATTAGGACGCAAACAGATAGCAGACGAAAAGCTGCGAAAACTGCAGCTGCGGTATGGGTGGACGAGGGAACTCAATACGAACACTTGTTCAGTCCACCTGCGTGCATTTCGGCAATGTGAAACAGTGCAGCAGTGCGCCCACTCTTGCGTGTTGAGAACTTGGTGACCACCCCCAGCCGTCAGCGACATACTAGCGGCGCCACCCACCCACTAGCGGCACCCGGTCAGCCCCCGCCGCAGTGGGCACAGCGCGCCCGGCCCGGCCCGCGGCGGCCGCGCTACCTCCGAAGGCCGGTAGATGAGCTTGTGGGAGAAGATGCCGTTGCCGTCGGGCCCGCTCGTCCAGTCGCCGTACTGTAGTCCGAGCTGGCGCCAGGCCAGCTGCTCGGGCCGGCTGAAGTCTGGTCCGTCGGCGGACTCGCTCACATACACGTACAGGTCCTGCCGGACACGCAGCGTTACACCCGTGCACACGTGTGTCAGGCGGGGAGCCACGGGCGGACACGTACAGGTCCTGCCGGACACGCAGCGTCACATCCGCGCACACGTGTGTCAGGCGGGGAGCCACGGGCGGACACGTGCGAGGCCTGCCGGGTCGTGCAGACAGACACACACGGAGACGCGTCACGCATCGGAGCCAGGGAGGCCGCAGTATTCACGAACGCGTGCAAATCTAGCCGACAACGGACGTATGGGGCAACACCAGCCAAGCATGTGCACAGGTACCGCCGAGCACCACTGGCGGACATCCCCGCGTGTGCGAGACAGGAACGCCGCACCAGCACGCGTCGCGACCAGACGACAGACAACTGTGACCGGGAGAGGTGTCCCGGTGGAAGTACGGTAACACCCACGCCCTTTCGTGAAACATCACACATCTCCGAGCACAGAGTGGCCATAGTAAGCACGAGGGTGCGCCCGTGCGTCAGGCTTAACCGTGGATTCGGGGGCCATTGAGTCCTCAGGTAAGGATTCTCGGTAGCCCTTCCAGGTCATGGGCCTGCGATCGGGCGCACCAGCGCACTGCTCGTGGCCTCTTCTGCCGCCGATCTCGTCCCCCTCCGTGCGCAGGCACGCCCCGAGATGGAAATGGGAGCCGACGGGCCGGCCGCCGACCGCCCCCCGCACTATGCCCGCCAGCACCGCGCAGCGGGCCGCCACCAGGTCACGCAGATGTGAAGTGAAATGGACCCTCTTCAAGCCGGCTGGCATCGGCCAACACACACGCACGCACGCACGCACACACACACACACACACGCACGCACGTAATCTCCCCCCCCCCCCCCACACACACACACATGTGATACCCAGCACCTACAGTCAGGGAAGGGGAGCGCACCGATTGTTTCGGCACATGACGTCTTGCGCACGCGATGAACCTGTAGTTCTACCGTCTCGATGCATCACCGTTTGATCCGGTCTCCAAAACCGGCACCACGGATCCGTGAACTGCCAGCAGCCGCTCTGCGGCCATTGGAGGCAATGCGAAATGCAAAGGCCACGTGCGTTTCCGCTGCGGTCATCAGCGCGGGCCGCTGTGTGCCAGCTCTGCCAAATAACTCCGACTTTCATCGAGACCACCCTGGTTTCATTATTTCAAGTCGCTCAAATTGTGGTTTCCGTACTTTCCGTTCAAAACCCACTCCCTGATAGTTGACTGGTGCCGCCCGCGGCGCGCTGCATTCATGCCGTGGTTGCAACACAAGAGGTCTTCAGAACACAGCACTCACCATGAACGTTCCATTTTCGAACATGTTGGTGGCGTACACGGGCGCCTGCGGCTTTCCACCGCCCGGCCCGGCCTGCGGGGTGGGGCGCCTGCAACACCAGTCAGTGCTTGGAGACCAGACCACCAGAGAGAACAGCTAGGAGACCAGCCTTTAAGATGGTAGTGATGCATGTCAGTTCATTTAATAATAAAAAAACTGGAAAACTTTACAGTACTACTGTCATGAAAAAACGCACATTTCATGATGGCAGCGCAATGAGCAAATGCCCAAAGGACAATGAAGTTGTGGACAAGACAGAAAAGACATGGAGTACAGCTGGATGGACAAATATTCAGAAGTAAAGATATGCCATCACTGTCTGGCCAGATCACAGCCCGGCAAAAAGCAGGATTCAGCATTGTATCAGGCCTAGGTATCAGCCACACCTGAACATGGACGATATGAGATAGATGACAAAGGCGCGGAATATGAGGCCCTTGCAGATGGAGAAGAAAGACTGCTGCGCCGGCTGCTGTTGCTGCTGCTGCTGCTGACCGTCGGCCGGCTGGCCGCCGCTGGCCACCGGGCCGCTCTCGGGCGCCGCCACCTCTCCCGGCATGGTCACCGCCACCGAGCTGCGCGGGTCAGGTCAAAGGCTGGCAGCAAGCTCCCAGGGCACTGTCTGAAACACAATGGTGCGTGGCACTCATGCTGAGCAGATGGTGTTTCCACTGGCTGCCCAGTACACACTGCTTCAACACACCAGGCTTTGTTTGTGTTGCACCAATTTCATGTTAACAATTGTTATAATAAAAAGAGAATAATCCTGGGAAACATTAAGGTTCCCATAGCAGTGGGGAGGATGCACAAACTTTGAATACATTTAACATACACTTGTTCTTGTAGGCCAGTCACTCCATGCTACATCGAGTTGGGATATCAAACAGGATCATGTGTTTCAATGCCATGAAATCACAGACTGGAGGCAGTTACATTCTTGAGAATGTTAAGAGAGTGGCTGCAGTAATTGTCTATCAATCACTAGCAATAACATTTGAGGATTCAGGGCGCCAAAGGCCTTTGTGACTGAGATGCATGCATGGATCATACCACACACACTAAGGTTTTTCTCATGACAAACTAGGACCTGGTAACAGTAAATGTCTTGCTGAAATGCTGTGTGCAAATCAGCATCATTGATAAGGATAACAATTAGCAGTTGCTGTGACTGGAAACCTAAACAGTTGGGTGTCTGTCTGCATCATTGGCTGGGACCCTGCATGCACACCACCAGTTATGAGTGAATACTTATCCCTCCAAAGCACACTGATGCTTTATGGCCTGCCAGCATAACAGTTGTTTGATGACCTGATGGCTGCCTGAAGGGCTTATGTCCCTCATAGGTCTCTCAGTGTCTCTTATCTGGTATACATGATCCAATGTCCTCAGGTTCACCACATCCATATCATACAATGTCATATGGTACATGTCATGCACCATATGACATTGTACATGATATGATATGATATCTGATGCATCAATGTCATGTAAGCTCATTAGATGATGAAAGCAACACATTTTGTCTTTCATTTTAAATCACAAAGATCATGCCTAATGGAAATGACTATTCAACTTTTGCAGCACAATAAATAAAAAGACATGTTTGAATGGTAGGGCATTGTTGAAGTACAGCCTGCTTGGCCATTTAATCCTTTTGATTGCTTTTCCAATTCAACAAAGGTATCTGTAGCTCTGTTAGCAGATGCTCAGGTGGGTGGGAGGGGGGGGCAAATTGACTCCCCAAAGGTTTTTTCCAGAATGGTTTCTGAATGGCGAGGCATGGCCGCGCCAAATTTCGCACAGCTGTAGACAACTGAATAGTGGATTGTTTCACAAAAAATTTACTTGTACCTTGTAAGGTTGCTGATCTATGGCAGGTCAAAATCAGGCCATGGTTTCAGCAAAGGCAAGTTCAAGGGAATCCTTCAATCTGATCCAACAACAGAGTGTTAGACAAAGCCATACATCTCTGAGATGCTTTCTTAGGTAACACAACAGTTGAATAAACAGATTACATTGACCTAAGGTCAGGTATGAAGGTCACACCAAGGACAAAGCCAACATGTTTTGTTACTCTAGGGCTTGCTGTATGGGATAGTTGCTGGTGCTCATTTCTAACTTGTTGATAGCAGGAACTGCATTATACATCTTCCATGGACTTCTAAGGGGTCAGAAAAGGTCACTGACCTAAAGTGACCCAGGTCAACATTTTGTTTTGGGAACATGCTGCCTGGCATTATCTTTGCCACTTGGTCAAATGCAAAACTCAAAACAATCTTGTATTGTATTCTTGTATTATTTTCATCTCATTGACCTTCAAAAGGTCAAGCAATGTCACCCACCTTAAATAGGTATGTGAGCTTTGGCTTAGAAATGGTTATCTAGGTTCTGGGGGCAATTTAGAGACAAGCCTGGAACTTGACCTAGTTTGACCTCTTTAGACCAAAGGGACTTTTTAGACCTCGGAACCTGAAACATTGACCTAAGTGATTTCACATACAGGTTAACACAGCCTGTAAATTTGGTGTCTCTAGCTTTCTTAGTCCCCAAGACCTCTGGGGGGGGGGGTCAAAATGACCCCCACCCAAGCAAAGGGTATCTAGCCGACTACCCACGCTCGTGTTAAAGCATTCAAGTTATTTGTCTTTCTGGCTTTGTGGCCATTAAGGTGCCCATATCAGAGAGCACACATGCTAAAGATAACAAAGTCTTGAGTGCTTAGTGATAAATGGTATTAAGAAAAAGCCATTGCAATTCATCATGCAAAACCAAGGATAAGCACAGTGGTGTTATTTTATCAACACAATGCATTTCAATCAGCAATGTTTTGCCCCAGATAATAAAATACCTGGTCCAGTGCTTAAAAATATTTTACCCATACTTAGGGAGACCTCTCCATGGGTAATTATTTTGCAGAATTCTTAGCCTTTGTGACATAACATGTCATGGGATGGCACCAACACGGAGGGAAAAGGAGTGGAGGGGGTGGGGCAACACTGTAAAATGATGTTGATATTTCCAAGGGGAAAATATCTATTTGTCCCCTTGATATTTCAGGAGACTACATCATGCTAACAGGAGGCCCCAGATGACTGAGGCACATTTTCCATAAAATCAAAAAGGGAGGGCTGATAAGGCACAAAAGATATCACCTGCCCCATAGGTCAGGCTGTACCTGATGTAAAGTACACCAGAACTGTCTTGAGCAGCAGCTACAGTGTTCCAAAAATTGTAATGCATGCATGTTAAAAATCCAAGATGTCAGAACTATGGTGTATGTTTAAGCACCTATTTCATGGCATTGCCAATGTCTAAAAAAATTATGATGCTTAGAAAATTCTTGAAGTGAATCAAGTGCAAGAAAAACCTCCCAAAATGTTCTTTACATGCGAGCATGCCAAATATGTCTACCACAGCTTGACCCGGCCTGCGTTTGGTGCACGCAAGCATGAAGTTCGGCGTGCACATGTCACATAGGAGTCTGGCGCAGTATATTAATTTTTGCAGACTAGTCTGTACGTCCTAGATGGCAAACATCATACCTTTTCTGACCACACAAGTCTCCAGGTGATCAAAAGGAAGCCCTAGCAGATGAAAAAGGGGCAAATAGGAGCCACACCACGCCGGTAAAACGCTACTTCAGCACTCGTGTACCACCGACGGAAGGAAGATCTATGATGGACGCAAGGTTTATGTACTGTCTTTCTACATAAAACCTGTAAGGCATCAGCTGACATTGTGACGTCACTGAAAGCGATTTTGAATCGATTCAACGCCGAGGCTCCCATGGATTGCCGACGTGTGTGCTGTCACTGTTCATGAGTTTTTACCGGCTCTTTTGGGTGGACTAAAGGTCATATGGCATGAACCGACGGTATGGCATCACTGATATTCGACTAGCTGTGTGAGGTCACTGGTTATAAGTTTTTGCGGGTTCTTTAGGGCCGACCGAAGGCCAAGGCCGCGTTCGATCTGTCGTCAGCACATTTGTTAGCACCAATCACAGCCCAGTATTCGCCTGCGTCACGTCAAGTGACCATAGTCATATGGTCTGTGACGTCATGCGCCGGCTGGCGATAATGCCAGGACCGCGTTCGATCTGTCATCACATTTGTCAGCTGGAATGCGTGACGTTATGCATGCGCACGGTGCATTCGATGCATGGGCTAACGGACAAGTTTTTTTTTTACTTTACTTTTCCTTCTTCCTTTACCTTTTACTTCACACCAAACACTAATGCTGGCTTACCGCCGACACACTACGTAGAAAGTGGTGTTTGGAAGTGTGGCTTCTGCTCCCGTATTACCATCATCTATCCCATCCGCAGTTGGGTGCTTCTTCCCATTTCCAATTCCATTTCGATTTCTTGCCTATTCATTTGAAGTGTTTACTTGTAATGCTGTTAATTTGCTAGACAGACGTAACCACACACCACATCAATCACTGTCCCACTCACCTCTTCATGGCTGCTCTTGGCATTTCAGTTTCCCCGCCATCATTTATCTCACGTCGCAGCCCCCAAAATAAGAGGCCAGTGTCCCTCATCTCACCTAACGATGATGGTGGTGATGAGGGCACTCGCCAACGCGCTAGTTAAAGCAATCCCTCTAAGGTGGGGCAATTCAAAATTTCCTAAAGCCTTTAGTTTTGAAACAGGGTCAAAATCCATGGACATGCACAATATCTGTGCCTTCACCCTTAGCAAAATATCGATCTGCCTGTCCACACGAGGAGGCGACCAAAACGTCCTTCAATTACCGCGGCATCTTAGCCTTTATTTTCCAGAAGCACACACTTCCTGAAGCACCACAAAGCAGGGGCGGGTCCAGGGGGAAGGGCCACGGGGGTCAGTCCTCTTCCCCCTGGACGCAAGGAGGTTTGGATACTCTGAAGGACGCCCAAATTTCATCGCAAAGGGGCAACAATACCTTCATTTCGGAATCATCGTGACCTATACTTTTATGAGACAAAATTGGGGCACCACGACGGCCATGCCGTGGCCTCGACGAAACCCTGCGTCGGCCCATGCGGTGAGGGAGCACCAAATCCGTCATTTCGCGACACACATGCCCTTTATTTTCAAAGAAGAGCGCCCACTTTCTGAGAGTGCCAGAAAGGGTCCTAAAACCATTTATTCTGAAGAGGACATTAATTCTAGGGGCATAACTATGTTGGCTTTTCGCCCTCATAAAATACTGGATTCGACCTTTGGGCAAGGAGGCACAAGAACCGTCCTTTTGAAGGTGACATAATCTTGATTGCCAATGGGTGCTAAATAAAAGCGGGCCATTTGCAAAGCCCAAAGCCATAGATTTTAAAGGAGCACCAAGTCCAGCGGCATTACACATCGGTGTGGGCTTTCACTTCGGAAAAATTCCGAATCGGACTGTTCAGGGAACAGGCACCCTGTTCAAGGAAACAGGCACCAACATCCTCCGTTGTTATTGGGGCTTTACGACGAGTCATCACAATGCGTCTCCATTGACGAAATCCTGCGTCGGACCATTCGGCCAAGAGACATCTTTCTTTCGGGCCACTACGACATTTATTTCCTTGAGACACCAAATGCAAGTGGGCGATAGAAGAATAATTGAAGGAGGTTCAAAGCTTCCCTTTTAAGGTGCACCGGAATACAGGTGCCCGCAAATGCCTGCCTCACACTGTTGAAATCCTGGTTCGGCTCCTTCGGTGAAAAGGCCGCAAGAACCTTGACTGTGGGCATCATAACATTTATTTCTATCAGCACCCAATTCCGATTGCAAAACACCACAATCAGCCCCAAATATTCATGTTAAAGGGATGCAAGATTCAAGGGGCACTTAAAATGGTCCCTAAAGCTTCATTTTCACGGGGAACTGAAGTAAGCACACCCCCACCTCCTCCTAAGTTCCAAGGGTCACATGGGTTCCGAATGTCCCTATTTCGGCCCCTTTGGGCCGGAAGATCAAGAGTCTGATTAAGAGTCCGAAGGACAGGCCGGAGGCCGTATGGCCGGATCGCAAGCCCAAAGGCCGCGGACCACTAAAATGACGAGTACATGAGCTAGCTCTAGCACTGATCGAGAGACGCGTGCGACTGTTGTCCCTCTTTGAATGGAACTCTGACTGAAACAGCCCATATCGAACAGTCCGTTCCCTGCTATCTGGGTCCTAGGGGTTATTTCCTGAGCAGAAGACACTGCCAAGATCTCTAACTGCACACATAGAAGGCATCCTACATTCGTCTGGACACCCCCTCGCTGACAACAATGAAAGACCACCATTGTTGGTCAGTGACCACAGTTCCTAGCAGGAGACCATGTGTCGGCAATGAGCCCCAGGCCGGCCGGGAGCACATTTGCTGAATAGGGACGATGAAAGGGACGTATGTCAAAGGACCTATTGTGCTGGTCTGGACCCTCCTGACAATGAAAGGTTTCACAAGAAATGACAAAAGGGGGTTCTCATGCATAATGAGACAGTGGAGAGACATGTGCTAGCCAGGGACACCAGAAGCGGACGAGGGATTCTGTGCACAATTTCAACCAGTGACCGATGAGGCGAATTAGTGTCTCGATACCAGTTATTGGACTTCCTGTACAGTAAGAGTCTGTTTGCATCAGGGAGGGCCCCTGCGTCGATCCGTTGCTGGATGTCCCAGTTAGAGGGCCAGCCGCATCGAGGAGGGGACCGGTTGTGGTGCATCCTTCTGAAGGTCTCCGTAGGGTCCTGGGTGCTATCACTAGACTTAAAGCCGCTGGGGACCCCAGGAAGGGACGTAATGCCTTTCAGCTGCTGACCAGAACGTTTTACCAATGCAATTTAGTTGGTTTACCAGTCGATTCTCTGAACTGATTCAGCAGTTGCAGCATGACGTGCAAGGGAGATTACGCCAATGCGCCATACCATTGCGCCTTCCAGTAATCCCTCCGGACTACCAATCTAAAAATCGCACTAGCGAAACATCCGGCAAAGGGACACCTTTTACACGCATACCCGTTAACTTAAGGCGTTGGAAAGTAACAATTTCGAAACGTGGTCATTTCCACCAGTCTGTTGACCGCTGTCAGGTGTTGCTGCAAGGTTCCGTATGCTACAGTGGCATAACAACACATTTTTGTTCTGACGTCTCACAGAGCACCTCACGGGAGGGGGGAGGGGGGCACCGAGGAATCACGTGCAGCCCGACCACAAAACTCTCCTCGCGCGCTGAGCGCTTACATAAAACACTGCAATTATATCATCTACACACAAACAATGGAACCCAACATTCTGAATGCATTACTTATTCATGTCCAAAAACCACTTCAAAGGAAATAAATGAATCAAACTATTGAATTATCTCTTTGAAGCAGCATCACGAATACATCCATTAGACAAAGAGCAATGCGCCGATAAATAGCACGGATTTTGGGTGACTGTCATGCGGTGTTGTGATTTGCTGTGTTGATTGTGTTATTGAAAGTGTGTGGTGCTATGATGTCTTCCGCACGGCTGAAGAACTGTTTGTTGTCGCCAAGTCAAAACGTCAGTGAGTGCTGACCAGTGAAAGTTGATGGTTGGTTTGCATGCTCGTGTTTTATGCTCTGACTTAAAGTGTTTAAGGTGCCGAAATGAAATGAGGAGTCAGATATATAGAAGAGTCGGTCACTAGTCATCTACCGTACAAGTTTTGCGAGCTTTGTGTGTCTGTCGTCATAAAAGTAAATGTATATACATATATACACATATATATATATATATATATATATATATATGCATATGTATGTATACATCAATATCAAAAGCTCTGTGCGATTCGGGCAAAAGCACCGGCCAGGACCAGCACGACACCATATCGGAGTGATCGGAAGCGGTAAACTTTGCGGTAACTAAATCTCCGCACATGTACCTTGCGAAAATGCTAGAAAACTGGAGAAGGCCTCTTAATTTGTGAGCACCCTAGAGTTCAGGGCTCTATCCACCAAAAATTATCGTATTCCGGCCGTTGAGTTTTATTCTCATATATGCAGTTTGCATACCGGAGACTAGCTTACCGCGCACAGCCCTAGAAAACTAGACATGCTTCGTATGCAAATACATGGAGCTTATTCATCTTCGTCGAATCATGGTGGATCCGGTCATTTTAAGACCGAGTATTTTGAAGAAAAATGCCAACACACACTTAAGTTGGCTGCTAGATACCATCAAAATCAAGCAAAAGTTTGATTCCTAGCTTATATACGTTTAGCCGGGTAGTTGATGAGGTCAGCTGATGCCTGGGGGCTAATACAGGGTTTCGTTTTGCCTGTTACAAAGGAAAACAGAATACCCCATCCTTCAAAATATATAAAAACGTAACATACAACTATAATAATCGTCACAAATTCAATAATCAACGGAAATAAGATGCACGACGTCGGCGGCGTGCAAAATTATGTTCCAAATGACAAGAATGACTTCATCGGCGTAATCCACATAGCCGCAAATTCAGTCATCAGTCGGTAAGAAATAAGGCCCCAATGAAAATGATGAAAGATTTACGTCCCGTCAACGGCGTAGGCTCTACCATGACATGGAAAAAACCCGAGACCAATAAGGATGGCACCTGGGCAATCGAGACTGCCGTGGCAGCCCAACAAAGAGGCTCCAGTGAACAGTGAAGGGTTCTCATAACAAGCAAAAAGAACCTAACATCAATATTGTCGGACCCCTGAA